GAGGACAAATATACTTAATGAAGTCACTGACTTCATCAGTCCCTTGGGACCGAATTACAAATAATGATTTGGGGAAAGTGTTTGGAGTAAGTGGTGCGACAATCTCGACGCAGTTAATGCGAATGGAGTTGGAAATGGAGTACGGACCTCGGAAAAATGGGCGACCACCCCTTTTAAACGAGGAACAGAAGAAGGCGTTATTGTTGGAAGTGTCTGGTTGTATTGAAAGGGAGCAGGCGGTAACAGTACAGTACTTACAATTCTTCTTGGAGAAACAATTTGGAGAATGTTTTAAACGCGAGGCAAATTTGTATATACTCAAGAAGGAGGGATTCATTTTGAGGTGGGCATTCCCTGACGAAACAAAACGCCTTGAGATACCAACACAGAGTTTTGTTGATTATTTTATTGGTCTTTCGAAGACTGTATCGGGTGTCAGGAAGTGCCTTTGTTTCAATCTAGACGAATCTGGATATCAAAAATGGGCTGACCGCAAAAAGCTCAAAGTCTTGTGGAATAAAGATGATATCAAAGTGCTGAAAGTTGGAGTTCAACGTAATGTCAGAAGAAGCACCTTTCTCGCTTGTATCAGCGGAGAAGGACCAATTCCAGGAATTCTAATCACTCCGACCTCAACTTGTACTCAAAAGCTTGTTAATTCTGGGCTTATTGGCCATGTACTTTTAACAAAAACAGAGACCGGATTCATAAACAAATCAATTTTTATGGATTGGGTCTTTTCCGTGTTTATCCCTAAAATTTACGAGAAACGAATGGAACTCGGAGTTGGTATTTATGAAAAAGCTGGTTTGCTTATTGATTCGTGTTCTTGCCATGATGTTGAAGAGCTAAGGAAAGTGCTTGAGGTCCACAACATCATTTTGGTGCCTCTTGTTCCGCACGCATCCCATGTTCTTCAACCTTTGGACATTGGGGTGTTTGCGGTTCAAAAAGGTATTATCCGAAATGCTCAGGTTGTAGAGGACAAAGAGGATACGCATGATACTTTTGGAGGAAATGAAAAGAAAGACAAAGGTGAAGGAATTGATGGCGAGGAATGGATGAATGAAAATTGGGAAAAAGAGGAAAGTGAAGTGAAAGTGAATCGATTTGAAAAGTACCAAATTGAGATGCTGACCGCCTTCCACAAGTCGACTTCAATTTATCGTGCTCTTCGGCTTTTAAGGGTGCGGGTATAACATTCAAATACGACTCGGAAAAGAAAGAGTACTTTTGTCAAGTTGATCCCTTCAAGTGTAAAAGATTGAGGGAAGAATTCCCTCTCCTTTTCAAGGATCTGAATTTTATTTCCTTTTTTAGTTCAATAATTCCAATAAAACTAAAAAGAAGGTTTAAATATGAAGACCTTTCAACTTTTAGGGTTTCTATAACAGCTATTAAAGTCTGTGAACTGCGAAAAAAACAGACTCATCAAACAAACGATCTAAACATCGACGACGAAGTACAATTGTTGTTAGACTGCGAAGTCGACGAACAAATCAACCAAGAAAGTCTGTCTAAAATACGTTTGTATTTGAAGCCCGAACCCCCCAAACCCAAATCTACAAGAGGAAGGAAAAAAGGCAGTAAGAACAAGACTCCTGAAGAAAAATCAATATTAGAAAAGAAACCAAAAAACCCAAGAGGTCGACCCCGAAAAGCAAATTAACTAATTTTTTGTTATTCCCTTTTGTTATTCCCTTTTGTTATTCATTTTTGTTATTCATTTTTGTTATATATAACATAATAATAACATTTTGATAAAAAATACCAATTAATTTATTCGTTTTTTTCAAGACAGGTTTTTTCGAACGAGACACCTTTTTGTTATGACTGTAATCATCGAAAATATTTATTTAATATTTATAATTATTTAAACTAAATTAGATAACTCACTAAAAATAATCAACGGGCGTACTCGATATTTGATGAAAAACCACTCGAAATCAACTTTTTTTAAATTTGTTAACGTCATATTTACATGTTTTTAGAACATTTAAGAAACAATATTCGATCAACAACCTATTTAAATCGAAATCTAGATAATCAACAAAAATAAGAAATGAATATGGTACCAATGTTTTTTACAAATTATCGTACTGTACGTCCTGGTACAACTGATCACAACTTTATGTGCCTTGAATGTTTTTGTTACAAACACTTTTCCAAGGATGAAAATAGCAAAAGGAAAACCCAACAATAACCAATGCCTGCATTTGTTCGGCAAATACAAGAGGTTGTTCCACAAAAGTGGTTTTCTTTGAAAATGGAGAATTCAAAAAGACTGGAAAACACACATGTTCTTTTGATCACAACAAGTTGTTTGCAGATAGAAACAATCATGCTATATGTGTCAGAACAGTCGAGAAACATTTAATATTAAAAGCAAAAACAATCCTTATACTTGTTTTAAATGACAAAAATTTCATTCGTGACGAAAAAGGAAGAATACAAAAATACTTGAGTTTCATTAAGAGAATGCAAAAATGTGTATTGGACGTGTTGCCTTTATCTTTTGATTCGTTTGTTTTACCGAATCATCTTTTGGTGACAAAGAGAGGTATTTCAATAGAAGAAACAAATAACTCGTTTCTCTTTTTTGATTCAAAAATAACACAACCAGACGAAGAGCGCGTTCTGATTTTTTCTTCATTTTTTCAACAACGTATCGCCAAATTGAGTTACACGTTTTTTGGTGATGGCACTTACAAAATAGCATCTTCAATAATAAAATGTTTAATTCATGCATTAATAAATGGAAATTGTTTTGCAATAGCATTTTTATTGATGCCCAACGAAAAAGAGCAACTTTTGAAAGAGCATTTGAAGCGATCAAAACTTTTATTATTAATGGACCTAATGGTGATTCCATAGATGGGTTGACATTTATATCTGATTCTCAACCAGCTGCATTTGTCCCTGCCAAAAATGTTTTTGGATGTGATATCCACATTTGTTTTTTCCATATAAAACAAGCTGTATGGAAAAAAATGTCACAAGAGGGGTTGTTTTCACAGTACAATAATGACCCTCTTTTACATCTCTGGGCAAGAAGATTAATGGCACTTCCGTTTGTACCAAGTGATAAATTGAAATCTTGTTTTGAATAGTGTTTTGAAAATCTCGCTATTGATGAAAAGTATGGTTTGAAAGGGGATATCGCCGACAAATTTAGAAGAGTGTTTGATTATTATAAAAGTCGGTGGATTTCTTCTCCCGAACAAATTGCTCGCATTTCTCAGTTTGATTTGAATGACAGAACCAATAATAATTGTGAAAGTTACCACAGTGGATTAAGTAATATATATGACCGTGTTCATCCTAATATTTATATATTGACACACATTCTTCTTGAAGTTGAAAATGTTGTATTTGAAAACTACGCTTTATTTCTTAATGGTGTCAATTCAAAGAACGTGCCAAAATCAATAACAGAGTTTAAAAGAAAAATAACTGAAATTAACGATAAGATGAAAGCTGGATTGTTTTTAACGGATTTATCTTATCTTGACGCAATTTCAATAAGCTACATGTCTTATTATTTTTCTTGCAAAAAATCAAGAAAAAGTTCGAGTGCTAACTCAATTGAAATGAGCAAAGTGTTTTTATCTCAAATAATTTCAATATCAGAAGAACAACAGTTGGATTTAGAGGAAACAATAGAAACAGAATTTACGTCAAGTATAACGGATAGAACAAGAGAAGAATTGTCAAGAATATCATGTGAAATTTCACAATCACGTTGTCCAGACTTAGAGGTCTACATTCAGCAAGAAATCCCATTATCATCAATTGTGTCCGATCCAAATAACAGTAATTCTCATGAAAAAATAGATAAACCAATACGTCGTCTAAAACGAAAAAAGAAAACAGTTATACAACAAATTGCAAAAGAAAAACATAAAAGAAAAACAAAAGATATTTAATCGATTATTAATATGTGATATTTTAATAATACTGTAATTTCATTATTAATTGATATATAAATGAACAAAAATATACTTTTATTTTAATGTATTTCTTCAAATGTATTAAAATGTGTGCAATATAGAAAAACAATTTATAGATGGTCAACAACAATTCTAAATGTAGTAAAAACAATCAAAAGACAATATAAAGGCACGTTTTTAAAATGTATTCATTTTTGTATGCATATAATAAATGTATATAATATTATTATATTAATTTAACAAGCAAACAAATAAAAAACCATATATTTGTTTTAAACAACTTAAATAAGAAATAATACAACAAGTGTGTCAAATACATGTAACGTGTTTGTTTGAATCAAAGGATATTATTAATATTAGACTGTATATTCGATAAATTATAATAAAAGTTAAATAGTGTAATATATTAATGTTAAATAATTTGTGTAAAATAATCATTATTACTATTTATATAACGAGTACGCCCAATAAACGAGTACTCCCATTATATCGGTACACCCATTTAACTCAGATCGTAAATGGTACCTATCTCCACATATTAAACACCCATAAGTACTCGAATTGACACATCCAATTAACTCACTTTGTGGTCTGCAGTATTTGTCGTTTGTATCAATGCGATTGAATGTGTTGTTGAAGTCAATACAATAACCAAAGAAATCACATGTTGCACACGATTCATCGCATTTGTCACAACTTTTGCCATCGGTGGATCGTTTATAACCATCTTTGCAAATTGCACATCCATCGTAATTTGGCATCATCACCAGACACGTTGTAATGATTTCTCCAAGAGTTGTGCAATTCCCATTTGTGTTTGGATACGAGTATTGGTCACACTTTGTGCAAAATGTCAGAATAGAACAGTGTATGCAGGGGTACTCGCACTTCACACAAACGCCGTTTTCGATGTAATACGTGTCAGCACATCGCAAACACCCTTTTGAACTCTTTTCAATGCAATTCGAAGTGTCGTTTTCTTCCAATTTTAATAATGTTTTGGTGCCACTTTTATAATTTTTTTGTTGTGTGTTTTGCAATTGATTTGAAATGGATTTAAAATAATTGTTTGTTGTGTTTTGTAGTGTGTTTGTCACACAAATGCCGTTGATTAAATTGTTGTTATATTTACACCCAGCACAGTGTTCTCTAATAACAACTGAACGACATGATGGGAAATGTGTTTCAATGAGTTCACATCTCTCGAGTGTTTTGTATTTGTCTGCTGTACACTTTTTGCACACACCATCAAACTTGGCTCAGTCTAAATTGTCAGTTGAGTAACACTTCCCATTTGATGTGATTGTAGTTGCATCGCATTTGATGCAAATGTCTTTGTTTTGGATTTCGCAGTTTGCAATTGTGTTTTGTGTGCATGCGTAGTCTTGAATGTGGTGATTTGTGACGCATCCAACACAATCACTCGACTTCATTGTGCTGCATTTGACATCGTCATGACATTTGTATTTGCCATCAAACACATTTGGATTTGCACAGTTATAATCAATTTCATCGTTGCCAATTCCACGCCCCCTTTCTTTTTATGTTTATTAAAGTTGGCACTGTTTGTATTTCATTATGGTTACACATTTCAAGAACACCAAATTGGACTTTCATGTCGTGTTATAATGTGTGACCAACACAGACAATCTCAAGGCTCTTCATTTACTGGGATGGCAGAGACATTATTATATTTAATTATTTTTACCAACTTCTGATTCAACAAAAGAACTGACATTATTTAAACTATTGAAATGTTTGAACGCTTCAATTAAAAGACATAAATGTTGTTCATTTTTCTTCTTCTTTTTTCGACTCAATATAAGGAGGTAGACAACAAGTATCAATGCAATAATATTAACAATAATAAAGAAAAGAAAGATGGCAACAGGTATACCAATAACTACCATAATTCATTTTCGAAACACAACTCTCACCATAATCTGAGATTTTGTCACTCCCTTCACATGCAGTGCACTTTGAGTTGTCTGCTGATGTACAACGTGGTACTGTGTGATAATCGATACAACTTCCTTTCAATAAGATTTTATCAACTCCATATAATAAACATACTTTATTGTTAATACAACTAACTTTGTATGAGAAACAACATCCGTTTTTTAAAAGAAAGTGTTGTTACATAGTAAACACCCTTCAAGATTTATTGGTTGATTGACATAATTTGTTGGACTTACTTGCAATTTGAAGTATCTACTTTTGAATGACAAACACTCATCAATCTTCAAACAAATATTGCACGACTCGTCACATGCATCACAGTCTTTCGCTATTTTGTAATACCCAACTTTACAAATTGCACAACTTTTACCAGCTGGTAATGCTACGTCACACTTTTCTCCAATTCACCAAGTGTCCGGCATTTCACTAACTTTCCTTTGCCAATTTTCATTCATTTTCTTTGCATTGAAAATGAATGCAAAAACACTTTCCATCAACAACCGAGTTGCATTGTGTATCGGGGTGCACGACATCTGTTCTATATCAATAATCGTTGAACCTCTGCATATCAAAGACGTATTTTGATTTGTACAAACAACATTTGATACACCACAACTGTCACGCGTGCTTTGTGCTGTCAAATATGTTCCTGCTTAACAACCGAAAACCACTACATTTCTTATTAACCCATACGCACACTATTGTACACAAACATTTCCGTTATTCAGAGTATAATTATTATCACAAATAAAACACATCAAAACTTGCTTCTCAAAGTTCTGGCAGTTAAAAGGTTCAATTTGTGGCGTACATTTTGAGTTGATTGATATTTGGTCTGAACAATCACATGAAGTTAAAGTTGGTGACTCACAATTTCCAGACGATACACACTTTAAGTTGTAAACAAAGAAAGTGTTAATACAATTCAGACAGCTTTCTCCGTTGATAATGTCACAGTTAATTTCATTCTTAACACATTTTGGAGTTCATATTGTGTTTATTGAAGTATTTGTTTGATTGACACAATTCACATTTTGTACCATTCAAGACGTGAGGGTATATACAACTAGTGCTATTTTCTTTGCCAACAAAGATTGTATCACACGTATTGTAATTGTTAATTGTGTCGTGACACTTTGTGCATGTTGCCTCACTGAATTTGTATTAGCCAATTAGACAACTTTCACATCTGCTGCTTTTCTGCACAAATAGATCTTTGTGCCAGGCACTTCTTTACATCAGATGAAAACTTGTTGCAATGATAATTTTCACGGGAAACACATTTACCAAATGATCGTCTGGACAGTACGCATTTGTACATATTTTGCACTTCCTTGAAAAGTCTGGCGAACAGGTGATTAAATCTGCATCAAATTATTTGCAGACAATACACATTTATTGGTTAATGGATTATTGAAAACGTGGTTTGTAGCACAGCCACACATTGTTGTATTGCATTGCCCATTACACGTTGCGTCACAAAAAATGCATGTATGTTGTATAGCATATTGAGCACTCTCTCTTGTCACCAACATATGTTGCACAATTTATATCAAAAGTTTTGCAGATGACACATTGAAGTGATGCAACACTGTCTGGTACATACCCATTTTGGCAACTCGTGCATATTCCACTGACAGTGTCACATTAACACTACATGTTGTGTCACGGCTTTGACACTTAAAGCCACCAGATGTCTCTGGATTATACTCTGATTAACATACGTTACATTTTCTTTCTGCACCACCTCAACACTCAGCACAATTTGTGTTATAGTGCTCACAAGTGATTTGTGAACACAATAACAAAACCGTAATTTGACAAGCAGCTTTTGCAATATCCAGTATCGGTGTAACAATTTACAATGCATGTTGTGTCACTTTAGTAACATCTTTTCTTGTCATTCAATTGAAGAACAAGGATATTATTTGTTGTGCAATTCACACAGCTGCATATTGCATAAATTGCACATGTCAAGCATTGAGAATCAACTATGCTGCACTTTTCATATGTGGTGGTGCTACCAGCTTGAACAAAACTGTTTTCAATGGACCACATGAAGTTTTCAGTTGCTGAAAACTTCATATCGTGTTTGTTGTTTTTGCATACGGTACATTTCCTATCATAGTTGCTGTCACACATCTCATATCATGTATTGAATACACTATGGCTGATACAGTTCATCCCATTTTGACTACCTATCCAGTACACACACATGTTGTTGTGTCACACTTGTTACTACATATTCTATCACACAATATACACTTCCCATTGCCGTTTGGGTAATACCCTGTTATACACGAAACACACTTCACACTTTCAAAGTTGTTATCACAAACAGAACGATTGTCATCAAGCAATGAGCATTTTTGAACGTATTTGTGTCTCTTGGGTTAAAGACCTGGTTTAGTGAACATAAACATAAAGTTCACGCCTTATTGCTCCCATTACACATTCATAGCAAAGTCAACTTTTCCCATCATTCAGTGTTGGTAACCACTTGTACAATTTGTGCAGATGCGGCTTCCATTTGAAGCATGCAAATTTGCTTGTCAATGATCATCTAACGTCTGGCAGCTCTCGCACACTTTTGAAACAGGACATATCGAGACAAACAGCTTTAAGAATTCGATTTGTCTTTTTTAGTTTTCTTTTCAATAAAAAAGTTGTAATTAAATAATAATAATATTATTAATGAATATTAAATATTATGGTAATATTATGTTAATTATTGATAATAATTGAATTAAATAATTTATGTTTATCGTTTATTTTATTATTATTTATTATTATCATTTAAACTATATTATATTTTAAAAACTCTAAATAATAAAAAAACACTGTTTTCTTCTCAATTATACTTTTATTATAATTGTATTATAATTCTTGTTATTCTCACTTTTACCAACTTATTTTTGGCTTTACCAACATAAATTGTTTATTTAAATATTGGAAAAATTAAAAAAACAGTAAGAACTATTTAAAAAAATTGGATTTAAATAATTGTAAACTGTTTCCCAAAAGTCGATAGTACACCAAAATATTTTGGTCTATTTTTATCATAATGATTTGGGAAAACCACGTAATCTATTTATATTTCAATATCAACTTTTTTCAAAAATTAAAACCATTAATTGTTGAAAATCTTAATTAAAAACAAGTAGAAATAAGATACAATTAATGTAATAACACTTTTTTTCTCGAGCAACTTTTTTAAAGAAGATGGCCAATGAATTTACCTTTTTCTTTAATACAAAGAGAAAATTATTTTTCCATCGATTGCATTAAATTGTTAATTGTATCCATTGGTATCGATTCCCATTCTTTCTTCAGCACTCTAAACAAACTCTTTTTGTTTTTAAAATATTTTTTCTTTTTTCTAATTCTATTTTCAAGTATCGACCAAACGTTTTCAATTGGTGATAAATCCGGACTTGAAGGAGGCCACCCAGTCAATCTCACTTTATTGTTTTCCAAAAAATTCAATGTCGTTTTTCCTGTGTGTGGCTTGGCACCATCTTGTTGGAAATAGACTATTTGTTTGTTGCGTTTTCGTCTAATATCATCAAACACTTTATTACTTTCAAGCATGTGTTGATAGCCAATTGCATTAAGTCTGTTGTCACATAGTAACAACTGTTATTTGTAATTATTTCCGATTGCTCCCCAAACCATCAATGAATCGTTGTGTTTTGGAAGTGTTAAAAACATTGATTTAAAAATCTTATTATTCTTTTTAATAAGTAAAGTTTAATTTCCAATTATTAAATGAATTTATTCTGTTATATCTCATTTTCCTGCTTTTGTGATACCAACAGTTTCCATTATCAGAAAACAATCCAAATCTCGACTCATCACTTATAATAGCCT